GGGGAGGGGGGCGGGCAAACTCTGCAGACCAGCTCCCAGCTGCTTTGCCCCAGTTTTTCTCCATTTTCTTCCCCTCCTGCAGCTGTGTCAATGAGAGCTTTTTTCATCTAAGTACGTACTGCAGGATAGTCCCCTGTACTCATAACCAAAGCAGGAAGAACATGTCTGAGCCCAAAGAGAAAAAACCACAAATACCTAGTTATCATTCAAGCATGCCACCCTCTGCATTCATGCAGTGCATTGTTCCCTGAAGTCATCTAGTGGAAAAAGTTAGAGACCATCAAATTTGTCCTATTGGTGAACAAAACGCAGCATCTCCTTTTTCGTCATCTGACAATTCTACCGCCTTTTCTCCGTCTGCCTGTTTAAACATATTTCTGAAGGTTACACCAGGCCATCTGCTAGGCCGCAGTCCTGCAGGGGGCTATGCATTCCTGGGAATCATGTGGAATGGAATCTGAGAAGCACCTCACAGGAATTCTCCACACATGACAGAATTGAGTCTGTAGAGACCGTCTTTCCACCATATCATCTCACTTGTCTTTATTAGCCAATGCTTTGTGTAATTTGGCTATGTATAGGAGCATATGACTACAGCACAGCTGGATTTTGAATAGGTGCCTACAGAAAGAAAAGCCTCCTCACAGGACCAGTCTAGCAGGGAATGTTTTGTCCAGTGGATCTGCATTGTTTTTGGATCTGCTGGCCTCACTCCTACAGTTTTCTAAGGCTACTGCAGATAGGGTTGCCAGGTGTCCGGTATTGACCTGGACAGTCCAGTATTTTCGCCTCCTGTCTGGTAAAAAAAAAAATCAGAAAATACCGGACACCTAAAATGTCTGGTATTTTCTGGTTTATTCCCCCCTGCCGGACGCCTGGCAACCCTATGACACACTCAGCAACTGGGCCCAGCCCCCGGCCTCCAACCAGGTAGTTTCACCTCCGGTCTGGTAAAAAATTCAGAAAATACCAGACACCTAAAATGTCCGGTATTTTCTGATTCTTTCCCGGCCAGGAAGCAAAAATCCCAGGTGTTTACCTGGTTCCACAGGTGAGCTGTCCGGGCTAGAGCAGCTAGACAAGATGGTAGACAGCTGCCTGCAGCCTGTTAGGGCCAAAAAACCTCAAAGGCATTTCTTAAAGGGGCCATGCTGTTTTTTGGGGGTTTTTTTTTTTTTGCTTAATAACTGTCAGGGGCCTTTTTCTTTCTTTCTTCTCAACAACTTTGGTCTCCCTCTTTCCCCCCCCCCCCCAACAGAATTTTTTCCCTGGTATTTTTTTGGGGGGGGGGGAGGAGGAGAGGCACAGTGTTTGGTATTTTTGATTAAATCATCTGGCAACCCTAACCGCAGAGCTCCTTTAAGGCAGTGCTCTACCATTGTAATGGAGAGGCAGCTTTCCCCGTATTGGGGCCTGATCAAAGCCCACTCTAGTCAATGGAATAACTTCCACTGACGTCCGTGGCTGTAGCTTTAGACCATTAGACTGATACAGATGCGCCATTTCTTTTTTCTTGTGTGTACTAAAAATGAACTTTTCATTTCATCATTCCAATCCACAGGGAACAAGTGGAGGATTGGATGACTTCCTTATCTCTAGCCCGTGCAGAGACAACAGAGAATGGATACTCCACTCAGGTGATGTTCTATCCAAAAAAGTCTGCAGTTATGTGCACAGATTGACTCTTTAAAGGGAGTGCTTGTAATGTCATTAGTAATTTATGAAGAGAGGGATCTTTACCCTGAAATATGCTGGTTTAGACCCTAAGCATATAGTGTGTGCTTTCCCTATAACTCCAGTTTCCTAATGAACAAGAGATTCCTTTATGGCGAAATCTACGCCTGTGCAGAGCACAGACCACAGTATCTGCTTCCCACTTAAGACCCACTTAATCTGTAAAGAGGAACCTTTTTGTGGTCAGAGGCTACTGACCCACAGAATAATCAGTTGGCAGCCACACACAAAGGAAAAAACCCCTCATGGCTCACCTGCTCCCACGGTAGGAAGCATAACAAGCAAGCAAGCAAAAAAACAAACAAACCTTCACACTTAAATCGGTGCACGCCGTGCTCCAGCCCTCTGTGGCGGAGGAGGGTTGGGACTTCTGGCCTGCGATGTAGAGACTTGCCATGGGATGGATTGAATCAAGCCAGGGGTTGGACCTAACCCGTGGGGTGTAGGTTCCCCACTCCAGCTGTAAACAATCTTATGTTTGTTAGAAAACATTTACTTGAAGGAGTAAGTGCATAGGACTTAAAAGGCCTTGCGTAGGGTGACTGTCACCCTTCATCTCAAGACAATGTACAGGCAGTCCCCGGGTTACATGGATCCGACTTACATCGGATCCCTACTTACAAATGGGGTGAGGCAACCCCGCACTAGCTGCTTCCCCCCAGCAGACCAGGGAGACGCGGAGCGGCTTTTCTCAGCAGACACCTCAGCTTGAGAATAAAGACTGAGGGAAGTAAGGTGTGGGAGAATAAAACTGGGCTCTAGAGAAATGTTTGGCTAGAGTTTCCCCTACAATATGTACCAGTTCCGACTTACATACAAATTCAACTTACGAACAAACCTACAGTCCCTATCTTGTACGTAATCCGGGGACTGCCTGTATCCCCAAATCTTCTGTTTTAGTCAGTGACGTCAAACACATTGTTTACAGCCGCGGGGGCCGGGCGGGGGGGGGGGGGGGGGGAGGGGCGCCACTAGGACCCAGATAATTGAGACCTTTCAAAGGTTTGGCCCAAGCGAGCCAAACACGGGGGCGTCATTTGAGCTCCCCGCCTCAGGTGCCAAAATGTTGTGGGCCAGCCCTGTGTCTTGAGCCTCCAAATCTGCATCCCTGGGAACCATGTGGGCTTCCAAGAGCAGACTTTTGTCCTTGGACCCAGCTGTCCTGATCCTCATGCTGCTGTCACTAAAATCCTAGAGCCAGAATCCTGCAACTCAGAGAAGCAAAGGTCGGTCCCTTTCTTCGCCACCGAGCTTTGATGAAACAGTGACGAGCACCCACCAACAGATGCTGAGCAACTGCAATGAAACTGAAGTAAGGGGCCCTGGCTAATGAGCATGCCTCTAGGTGACATGCGATAGTTCCTTTGTACAAGACTGGCCCTCAGGCCCATAGAATGGCAGGCGCAGTTTGCTTTCTAGGGTGGACAGAAAAGGAGGCCTTGAGCATCAAATGGTGGAAATCCCTGTAAAAGGCTTGTGCTGTCAGGCTCGTTTCCTGGCCCAGCTGTGTTTAAGAAAGGTGACAGCTTCTGCAGGGGTCCTCACTGGCCATTTTAGCAAATAGGCCAAAAATCACTAAAGGAAATCCTCCCCATGCAGCAGGGTTGGAACTTGAAGTTCCTGAGTTGTGGAAGGATTTGAGGCCTGAAGAGATCATCAAAAGGTACCAATAGGAGCTAGGTGTCCAATTTCCATTCAGTTCCTATGGGAGTTGGGCACCTAATTGTCCTTTTTTCCCCCCCTTTCTGTTTAAATAATGGGGAAGGAGGATTTACAAAGTACTGCTGATTTCTGGTCTGCTGTAGGCTTGTCTGTAGAAAATAAATGACTAGCAGCCTGGAAAGCAGCGCTTAGTATAGTCACAAAATACCACACAAACAGGGAGTGTAACAAAAGGTCTGGAGGGAGAATAACAAAGACTGTGCTCTGTTACCAACCGACAGTGCCATTAATACACCTGCGGTACTTCTGCACAGGTTGTCAGTGTTTTTTCTTTGGTGTGCAGGTGGAAGATCCCGCAGATGACAAGCAAAGGCCTAATTCAGATCCAGGCTCTTGCAATCTCCCTGAAAAGCAACCCTGCTACAGCTCCCCAGTGCATCATCTTCCAAGTCCGGTGAGCAAAGCCAGTGGGTCTGTAAAGCCTGTTGGGTGTGTACATTTTGCAGGAATGGTCATTAACTTAAAGAAAAGGTACACTGGAGACTTTGCAGTGGCATAGCTGCACCAGTCCAGCTGTTTAGCTGCAAGTTCTCTAAGACAGCAGCCAACAGACTAGTGTTGTCCCATTGGCTTAACTCCTCCAGCCTCCATGAGTGGCAGAAACTATGTCAGTGGGAGACGCTTTCCTGCCAACATAGTGCTGTCCACACCAGTGCTTATGTCAGTGTAACTTATGACGCTTGGGGGTCAGGTGATTTAAGCTGCAATGTAAACCTAACCTTCTTGTCATGCCTCATCTACTCTGAATATCCCTATCAACGGTGACTCAGCCACCTCCCTAGCAAGTCCAACTGGCTCCGATTGTTAACCTTTTCTAACTGGTTGTACTTATTTCTTGTGCCACTCTGGTAGTTTGCTCTCTTCCCTTCTGAGAGCATGACTGAGAATTCCTTCACAGTTTGGGGCAGGTTGTCACAGTGCCATTGATGTCAGTGGAGCTAGAACAATCTATTCAAGCAAAGGATCTGCCCCTGTTAATCTAGTTGTAGGCCGTGCCCATGGGTTCCTGGGTTGTTTTTTTTAGCATCTCTCAAGGATTGTCTACACACAAAACCTGCACTGGTTTAAATCAAATGGACTGAAAACCTAGGTAATTAACTGGCCACACAGCCCTGCATGAAGACTCTTGAATCAGTGTAAACTTGGCTTAACATGGCTTGGCTTGCACCTGTAATTGAGTTCCACCAAGCTTAAATGCACACAGTTGCACCGCTTTAAATCAGATGAAAATTACACCGTTTGTTAAACTGCTACTATTTTGTGTGTAGACAAGGCCTCGGGCTCACTCTCTCCTCTTTTACCTACTAATCCTTCCCAGGTCAGTGTCGCCTTTAAGCAATACTGGGCCTATGTTGTGCCGCAGGCAATGCAGAAGTGTTCTGGGCTGACTGAGCGTGAGGTTTGTGGAAGGCGGGGGTGGGGTGCACAGGCGCGTCACATGATCTTTCATTTGGATTGAGGGTGTATGACCTGGAGCTCTGTTTTCTGTCTGACTATGCAGAAACTGCAATTAATAGTCTTGCCCTACAGCTAACAAGGGATAGCCTTCGTTTGGTATAGTCACAAAATACTACACAAACAGGGAATGCAACAAAAGGTCTGGAGGGAGAATAAGAAAGACTGTGCTCTGTTACCAACCGCTCCTGTTGGCTAGCCCAGTGTGAGGTTATTCAGCATAAGGGAAGCCTCGGGACTTCTGAAACCACTGAAGGGGGCTAGGCCTGAGGCTGCTTGGTGTGTGTGTGTGTATATATATATATAGAGAGAGAGAGAGAGAGAGAGGAAAATAGTTTAGCAGCCCCTTTTCTCAGCATGCAGTCTGTGTGACCCTGCTGGGGGCAGAGGGCACATCCTGGCAAGAACCAGGAAGTTCTCCCAACGTGCCGCAGTTTGGAGTCCACAACTTGTAGTTCCCAGGGCTGCTGCTGAAACACACTGGACCTTGGGTTATACCAGGTATTAAATATCTTAGTTCAATCCTATCAGCTCATTTCTGCACGGATTGAGCTATCTCCTGGCTTGTACCTTTGTGTTTATTTCCTCTTCCAAATGCATGACACTACATTTACGGGTATTAGATTGAATTGAATCACCAATGACTCACTCTTATAGGCCCTGATCATGCAAATTATTCCTCAGGTAACTAATCTTGACTCTTGCAAATAGTCACATAGACATGAATGAGTCTACTTGCATAAGGACTCGTTTACCTGAGGGAGGGCTTACAGGATTCAGTCCCTTAGCTATCCAAGGTCAGGGCTACACTGGGGGAGAAAGTCGACCTAAGATATGCAACTCCAACAACGAGAACTGCATAGCTGGAGTCAATGTATATTAAATTGAATTTCTGCAGTGGCCCCACCATGGGAGGTTGACAGGAGAAACTCTCCTACCTGCTTCCCTTATTCCTCGCAAACCCATGTGTACCAGGGTCAACGGAGTAGGAGGATGCTCTCAGCTTTCAATTTAGCAGGTCCTTACTAGACATGCTAAATCAAACTCTGGAAGATTGATCTCCGGGTAAATACAGACAAGGCCCAAGTTATTCCAAACTTTAAGACCAGGCCCCCATTCCTAGTTTTCCTGATTGCTAATTTCAAGTTGAATTTACATACTCCAAATCATGAATGTGTTAAACCGAACCTGGTTTCTGATTCCCACTCCCCACTACTAACTCTTGTGTTAAATTACTTATTAGGATTTATGATTTGTATTGCTGTGGCAGTTAAACCCCATTCAGGATGGAGGCCCTGCTATGCCAGTTATTGCAAACACTCATATTGAACAGGACACTACTCCCAAAGGCTTACAGCAGGCGTGAGGAACCTAAGACCTGGAGGTTAGATATGGGCCCCAGTTTGCTGTATCTGGCCTCCCAGACTCACGGCTCACCCCTCCCAGTATTGTGGCTGCAGCACAAAAATCTGCTAGCCTGGGTGCCCGTAGGCTCTGGCATGTGAGGGGAATGTGGGGAGTGTCGTTCTCCTTTTTAGTCAGGGGTCACATCAATGAGAGTCTGTTCATGCTTTTTTGCTTCTCACTTGTGTGCGGCCCCTGACTGATTTTTCTCTAGGTCAGCAGCCCCTTGACCCAAAAAAAGGTTCCCCACCCCCTGGCTTTAAGGCTTGACAGAACTCTTGATAGGCACTCCAGGTGGAGGAACATTAACAGTAACAATTCCCTTCTGATCACTATTCAGCCAGTTTCACATCCCACTTTAGTAAGAAATTGGATAAGTACCAAGCAGGTTAAAAATAGCATAGTTTTATGATGTGTCACTAAGGGAGGGATGGGCAATAATTTTTGCAGAGGGAGGCCACTTCATGAATTTAGGTACACGGTCATGAGCTGGCTCCGGCCCACCTAGAAGGGGTAGGGCCCCAGGCGGAAGAGGTGGGGCTGGGGCCTTCAAAGAGGGAGAAAGAGAGCAAGTGTAAAATAGAGACTGTGTGTCAGAGACAGACATTGTGGCACAGATTGAGTGTATGTGGCACCGAGACTGGGAGAGTGTGTGAAGCAGTGTGTGTGTGTGTGTGTGTGTGTGTGTCACAGAGACCGTGTGGCACAGATGGGGTGTGTGTTACAGTGACACAGAGTGTGTGCTGGCTGTTGCTGGGTAAGTTTCTGAGAGAAACCCCGCTCTGTCTCTAGGAGAGGGAAAGCTTCCCTGCTCTGTGTTCTCACCCCTCCGCACTGAAATCTTAGAAACAGTGTACTTAAGGCAGGCACTCCTCTGAGTCTCTTACCATCCATGCTTCACACTGGAGCAGCTCTGCTGTATGCCTCCCTCTTTCCAACCTGCAGCGATGGAGTACAGGGGCAGGGGATCCCCTGACTTCAGCACCACCTTTTCCCTTCTGCCTTTCCATCCCCATCCCTGCCCAACACACTGCACAACTAGCAGGAGAATCCTGGGAGCAGCTCTGCTGCAGGACAGAGCCAGGTGCGGGGTAGGGGCAGCTGAACACACACTCCCAGCTGTAAGTGTGCACGCTCCACTCATCAGCTGTGCGGGAAGGAGAGAAATGCTCAGCAGTCTGGATCCAGTCCCTGGGACTGATATTGCCCACCCCTGACTTAGGCTCCAATAAGAGCCACCCTTTGTACTATCATTAATGAACGCCATCCAGGCATCAAAAAATCCATTTGTTGTTTCTCATTTCTATTCAATGCCAGTTTCCTCCTTTTCTCTGTAAGGAAGAGGGTTAATACTTTATTTTATCTTGAAAACAATACTGTATTCAGTGACACAGTTAGTAGTTTTAAAATGTATTGCCATCGCAGATGTAGGAGAGATAAGAAGGAATGCATCACAAATTAAATACTAATTACATTCTGCAGGACAGTCAAATCAATGAGCAGGAGGGAAGTTAGAGATGGCTATTTTGGCTCAAAGAAGTGACATGTTCCCTCCTGGATTTGTCAGATACTCCCGATCTTTATGAAGGACCATTCTCTGTCTGGTAGCTCCTGCTGAGGGCAAATCATCCAGTATAAAGTTGGTTCAATTTCTGCTCTCACATACTCAGGTATAGCTCCTGGCCACTGGGGGAGTTCCAATAATTCACTCTTTCTTCAGGCAAGACTCCCAGTGCTTTTAATAGAAGTGGCAGAAAACAAACTCCCCATTCTAGATTTCAGTAAGGGTGTTTATTTAAGTGGGGACTTGAGGATGGGGCCTGGAGCAAAGAGCCCTGGTATAGAACCTCAGAGATATTTAGGCACCCACCCCCTATTTTTTTCAAAAGAATTAGGAACCTGAATAACTTTGGGTATTTGAGCCCCTGTGTGTGTGTAACCCACACACCGACTGGATGTGGTTCCTTGTCCCATGTAGTGGCACTTAGACCATTTTGGCTACTTCTAGACAGCAGCACTATTTCGAGTTACTGAAAGTATATCGAAATAACAATTCTGCATCTTTAAACACGCTCGTTATTTTGAAATATATTTGAAATATATTTCAGGTGCGCTATTCCAGCATTCCTATAACCCTCATTCCATGAGGGCTAAAGGACTTGCCGGAATAGCACCAAATTTTGAAATAAAGCACTACTTCAAAATGACCTCAAAAGAAGCTATGCAATTTGTGGACTGCAAATAGCGTAGCTTATTTCTAGGTAAGGGTGCTGTGTAGACACATCCTTACAGAGATAATGAGTTTTCTCTACAGCCTTGGCTGAGAGCCATCTGTGGATGTGCCCCCCTTAGCTAGAGGAAGTATGTCACCCCATACACCTACTGGGTGTGGTTCACTGGCCCGTGTAGTGGCACTGAGACCGCTTACAGAGAGAGCAAATGCGTCTGCTCTGCAGCCTGAGCTGAGAGCCAGGTGGCTTTTAGCACCAGAAGTCCCCGGTTCGGTTCTGCCTATCAGCGTTACATGTGGAAAATTGACACAATATCCACCATTGCTCCTCTTTTTTGAACACCGCAGCTATTTTTGCATAAATAGTCATTTGCAAGGGCAGTCTGTGACAGATACAAATATTGCACCCACAAATCAGCTACCTATATATCTACAGTAAATTATCTCAATACGCACAGTTTTGCACCTACAGCTGATTAAGCATATAACGGAGCACTAAGACAGAAGCCTTGTTTTGAAGTCAGATGGTTGCTGTTATCATTTCTGCCTCTGAGGAGCAAGTCTTCCCACAATCCTTCCCAATGGATTTGTCCAAGCAAACAGAAAGATGATATCAGATGTCAAGAATTTAATGGAAACATTTTTTTAAAAACAGAACAACAGTTCTGAAGAGACCAGAAAAAGTCAGCTGCTGTTGCATTCAGATGGGAACACCAATGAAAAGGGGGAAGAATATTATGCTTTTCCAAGCAGTATTCTAGCACAGGTAAGCCACATCAGGTAGGGTTCTCTCTTGATCCAACTCTAAGAGGATATTCAGTTGCCCAAACCCAATGGTAGCAAGATTGCTAGAGAACCAGACCTCCAAATCATTGGCTAGCAGGAGGTTAAGATGGGAGAGAAGAACAATGGAGTTCTGGTTTTGGAAGGATGCAAGGGAGGTTTAGCTTGAACCTTAAGGAAAACTCCCTAACTGTCATAGTGGTTAAGCACTGGAATAAATTGCCTAGGGAGGTTGTGGAATCTCCATCAGTGGAGATACTTAAGAGTAAGTTGGATAGATGTCTATCAGGGATGATAGACAGTGCTTGGTCCTGCCGTGAGGGCTGGGGACTGGACTTGAAGATCTCTCGAGGTCCCTTCCAGTTCTAGTGTTCTATGATTCTAAGCTATGAGTAGCTAGGTACTTTGGTTTACTGAGGTTTGGCTGAGATACATTACCCACAATACAGCATAAATACAAACTAAGTAAAATATGCTGAGGGGATAAAGTGAGAAAATACTTACATGTTGTTGTTGTTTTCCATTTTTAACAGCTGGAAAGTGAACAAGCTACATCTGATTCCCCAATTCACTCTCACAACCTAATGGAGACTGGGGATCATCTTAGCAGAAAGTTGTACCTGTCAATGAAAGCTTTGTAGGTAGCTCTTTTAGTATTTAAAAATCAGTGCAATGTAACAATATTGTTTGCGAGAGGCCTTTTTTGGGGGGAGGGTGGGAGACTAAGGGGAGAGTTTACCAGAGTGAAATTCAAAGTCACTTCACAAATTCATACATTGACACCCTGACAGGCATACCCAGAATAAAATGTGACCTGATGGTTCTTTTCCAGGCTAAACAATGCAACATCTGCCGTCACAGTCACAGGCACCCCAGCCAGAAACGCCCTAGAGCAGGCAGTGTTGTGTAGTGGTTAAGAAAGAATGGTTTCTTGATATGTCACTAATTGCCTGGATGATCCTGGACATTCTCTGTACCTCAATTTCCCTACCTATAAAATGGGTCTAATACTACTTACTTCATACATGTGCTCTATAGTTTGATGTTTTTAACATGTATCAATAATTCAATATTGTTACTAGGGATGTTAAGCGTGTAATTCGTTAATCGTGTAGTCAACCACAAGTTTGTCAACTACACGACTAATCAATAAAGGTTAACACTGCAAATACTCAGTCCCAGCTTCTTCCAGGTTCAGCAACTACCGTGCTGTGTCTCTGTACTATGAATATTTTAGGATCTGGTGCAAGCCAGCCTGCTAAATTGCTGCTTCCCATTCCCCTGACTGTGAGGGAGCGAGGAAAAGTGCACAACTGGTGTGAATTACTCCTCTGCCCCCTCTCCTCACCAGCTGGGAGTGCCCGCAAGCTGTGTACTTTCCCCTCACTCCCTGGGAGTCAGTGGCGCTGGAAGAAGAGCAAGTAGCATCCTGGCGTGCATGGCTGCAGCCCTCCCCTGCCATTCTCCTGCCATGGTGTCCCTGTGGTTTTAATCCAGGGTCACACAGAAACTTCACAGTTGTCACTACGCACTAGCATGGCCACTAAGGACTTCTGGGACAACTGCACAGAATTCAAATCCTGCAGTTCCAAAATATTTGACCCCTGAGCAATGGGAGGATTTCCATTGGCTGTTAGTAATTAATACTTCTGGCGCACAGATGAACAATTCTGATTCTGTCCCACAGAAAATAATAGTGCATATGCACTCCAGTTCATTACAATATCATTTAACTGTACACGTGTACTTGTGTGAAATTTGGAATAGAACTCAAAACCTTGCATACCAAATCACAAGCCTATCCCATTTGAGCTAAACCATCTCTGTTAGAATGAATTACACCTTTTTTCATGTCTCCAGCCACTAGAAGGTGCAAGAAATAATCTGGCAAACATTTGAGTAGGTCTGGCAAACTCTATCGAGTAGCCATCAATGATGCATTCTTACACAAGCACAAATCACATTGCTGGTCCAACAATTTCTATTCCCTTTTCTTGATAAATTACATTGGTTGGAATGTTTTCAGTTTATAAATATTCTTGCAATATTATAAAAAAGTGTTTTTGTTCCTATGGTCAATTTTAAGGAGGGCAGTTCAGTTGATTTAGCTGTAATTTTGGCCATTGGATTCGCTACAACAATCTGTTATTCTTTGCCTCCCAGACATCTATTTGACACAACTTCAAGCACAGCAAGAGTAACTGACGTGACATGCCAGCTATGTGCATTTTTTACTAACATTCCTATTTATTAGATTTCCTGAAGAGAAACTCCAGCCCACACACAGAAGTGACGAATCCCTGACCATTCCCAGAAGCCAAGCAAATAGCGTACATTGGGGAAACTCTGAGGCAGATGGAAACCAACAACAACTCATGCAAAGCAGTACCAGCAAGCAGCTACCTCAGAAAAGAAAGCCAAATTCATCACCATTATCAGTGGTTCAGCTGTCTATAATAATCAAGTAAGGATGTTTAGGATTGAAATATGTAACAGAATCCTCTTTAAAAGTAACAACACTCATCTTTGAGATAGCTGTTAGGGACTTAAATTACTTGAAAGCAGCATTCTTCTGTGTTCCAGCATACAAACCAGAAATGATGAATGCAAGAGTTTTGAACTATGAATTTGCAATGGCCAGGTCTTAAAACCCAAACAAACACTCTACAGAACATGCTGTTACTCTGTAAGGTTGGTTTGGGGCCGAGTAAGGGTACATCTGCACAACAGTGTTATTTCAGAATAACTAACGGTATTCTGAAAGAACATAATCCGCATCTACATTACAAGCAGTTATTCTGACATTATGTTGAAATAATGTCGAGCTGGAGGACTTCTTACTCCAAAACCTGTAACCCTCATTTCACGAGGAGTAAGGGAAGTCAGAGGAAGAGTGCTCTTTCTCAGACTTCCTGCTGTGTAGACTGTGCCAAAAAGCCAAAATAAGCTATTTCAACATAAGCTACACAATTGATGTAGCTCAAGTCGTGTATCTTATTTCGGCTTTAGCCCTGCTGTGTAGATGCACCCTAAGGGAATTTATGATCATGTTTGGAAGATTTTACGGGTGGAGTATTTATTTTTAATACGCACAATTAGAAGTTTTCTATCTAGTTCCTTGTCTCTTGCAAGATAGTGAAGAACGTGATTTCTAGCACAAAACAGCAGTGAGAGCTTTACAAGGCGTTTAGGAGTTAAAAATCAATGGGAGTCAAGCCTTTCTAGATCAGCACCAGAAGAGTCTGCCAATTAATTTTCCTATTTTACTTCTCTCCTCCAAGGAGAAAGATAGTACTGTATTACTATTAAAATAACTGCTACACTTTCCCTATCATCTAGACCTGGGGCAAGCTTCTTAACGGTGGTGGTGACTATTCTCCAAGGCTGTGTCCAGACTCAGGGGTTTTTTCGAAAAAAGTAGCCTTTTTTCGAAAAAACTTCACCTGCGTCTAGACTGCAGCCGTGTTCTTTCGAAATTAAATTGAAAGAACGCGGCTTTTCTTTCGACGGCGGTAAACCTAATTCCACGAGGAAGAAGGCCTTTTTTCGAAAGTGCTCTTTCGAAAAAAGGCGTTCTTGAAAGCAAACAGGGCTTTTTAGAAAGAGAGCATCCAGACTCACTTGCTGCTTTCTTTCGGAAAAGCGGCTTGCTTTTTCGAAAGTTCCACGTGCAGTCTAGACGCTCTCTTTCAAAAGAGGCTTGCAGTCTAGACATAGCCCAAGAGAAATGCTGGAAAGCCCAGCCTCTGCAATATTGGACAGTAGGCTGGATAATGTCCTGGAGGTCAGACTATAGGGAACAATAATGAATTTTCACGAGGGCACAGATTGAGTGAGCTGAATGACGCTTTCCATCTCTATTTCCTATTATTAGTGAGTTGTCTGATTGGTAGAGTCTAACAGGCCTACAACTTCCTCTCTTACAGCAAAATCAAGGATAGCAGCCAGCTGCAAGAGGTGGATATTTGCATTCCTCATGCTGATCTCACCAGTAATCTAATTCTTATTGAAGCAGCAGGACAAATATGGTAGGACCTTTAAAACTTGTGGTGGTGGGTAATTGTCCAGGGGTAATTGCCTGTAAAGCGCTATCTAAGAGCAAGGTATTTATTGTGTTTCAGGCAGGGTGAAATAACCATTGGGAAGCATTAGCCTAACGGCTATTCTTTTAATAACAGCATGAATGGCATAAGTGTCAATTGTCCTCCATTCACAGGGTAAATCGACTTGTGTTTGTGATGGTCATTGGCACAGGAACAGAGAAGGGCTGTTAGGATGATCAGAGGAATAGAAAACCAACCTTAGCAAAGGAAATTTGAGGAGCTTGGATTGTTTCACCCAACCCAAAGAAAGCGAAGGGAAGATATGTTGGTTCTCTATAAATATATCAGAGGGATAAATACCAGAGAGGGAGAGGAGTTAAGTGCCAAAGTTAACACAAGAACAAATGGATATAAACTAGCCATCAACAAGTGTAGTAGGCTTGAAATTAGATGAAGGTTTCTAGCCATCAGAGAAGTTCTGAAACAGTCTTCCATGGAAAGCAGTGAGCAACTTCAGGTGTTTCCAGACTGAGCAGGATAAGTTTGTGAAGGAGACAGCATGATGAAATTGCCTTCCACGGCATGTGGCCCATCTGTAACCAACAACTGCAGAAAGCCCCAATGGCTGAAGATGGGGCAGGCTCTGACTTATCACGGAGAATTTTTTTTTCAGCTATCTGGCTGGTGGGTCTTGCCCACATGTTCAGGATCTGGTTGCCATTTTTGGGGCCAGAAAGGAATTTTCCCCTGGGTCAGATAGGATCTCTACCATCCTCTGCTGATCACTATGGGTACATCTACACTACAGAGACGATCGAAGCTGCTGTGTCAATCTTCCAGGGCTCGAATGAGCAGATCTAGTTAAGACAGCTAATTTGAACTGAGAGGGACACTCCAGTCACTGTCAGTAGTCCTGCTTCCATGAGGAGTAAGTGAAGTTGGAGGAAGAGTATTCTCCCTTTGACTTCCTGCAGTGTGGACAGCGCCAAAAGTCAAGTTAAACTACTTCAACTTCAGCTACTCAATTAACGTAATTCGACCTTGTCCGGAAGTAGAGACGTACCCTTCCCAGTTTAAAGGAGTGTAAATGGTGGATTCTCTGTAACGTGAAGTCTTTAAATCATGAGTCGAGGCCTTCTGTAACTCAGCCAGAGGTTATGGGTCTAGTACAGAAGAGGAGTCGGTGTTGTGCAGGAGGTCAGACTATATTATCACCATGGCCCCTTCTAGCCTTAAAGTGTAGGAGTCTATATGGGAGTGTGTCCTGTTCAGTACCAATACGCAAAGCTTTTTGACTAATAATCCTTCAGCATTTTGTACAGTTAGACAAGTTGCCGTCTCCCTATTATGGATGGGGAAGCTGCAACCCAGGAAAATTAAGCGACGTGCACCAGGTGGACGATTCTGACTCCAGTTGACCAGTGATCACCACTCGCTTTTGCGCCAGAGTGTTCTCTGATTGTTCAAAGCATCAACAAGGTTATGGGCTAGTATTTGGAGCAAGGGTGTAGGAGGCAAGACTAAGAACATGAGACTGGCCAGACTCTCTCTCCCAGGTGACTCCCTGGTTTGCCAGGTCTTGAAGCAAATCGCTTCACCTCTCTGCCCTGTAGGTTATTACCACCATGCACAGGTGAGCAAAGCTGGGTCACATGGCTGTGGTATGGTGTCAGCGAGTGTCAGCTGAGCACGTGGAGAGCCTGGGGTTAAATGCAGACTGTAAATACAAAATGCTATTGAGTGCTTTCAGATAGGCTGGCCTGAGTGGGAGGCCCAGCACATAACTGCAGGCAGACAGCTATTCTCTAATGATTTTCAGCACTGGGCGTAGTCCATCCAGCAGCCAGACACCGTCAGTGTTGGATGTTGAGGGGCCAGAAGTATCAGTTCCCCAGCAGCTTTGCAGTCTGAGTAGGCAGTGTGGAAGTCAGTCCTCTCTCTAGATCTTCAGTATCAACTGAGTAGGAAAGAGGGGAGGGTAAAGGACAGGCTTGCATGGAAGATTAGTTCAGTGTCTCATCCTTGCTCCCTGCTGAGCCGCCTCTTGCTCTTTCACTTCTGCTCAGCAGTAAGACTGGCTCTTGCCGCAGCTTTGATGTGCCGCACTTTGCAGCTGCACTGCCAGGCTGGCGGGAAGAGCTTGTTCTGCCCCTACCAACGAGAGCAGGAAATACCCCAAAAGAATCACAGAGAAGACCCAGCTATAAAGCTTGTGTAACACTGACAGGTGGAATCAAACCTGCGACCACTGGAACTTAATGCATGAGCTAAAAGCCAGCTAGAGCTCAGCTAAGTCTGTAGAGCAAACGGTTCTTTCTATAGATCTGCTCTCGGTGCCACTCCAAGGGACAGTCCACCACACCCAGCAGGTGTGTGGGTCACCCTTGGATTTGGAGCTAAACATCCAGGATGATCCTAGTGGGAATTCATACTGAAAGGATTTGTCTGGTTTCAGCTGGCAACTGTTTTGGAACAAAGCATCAGACTGAGGGCTTAGAGGGCCCCCAAGCTGCTAATCCTCCAGGAGAAGCTAGGAGAGACCAGCCACAAACGAGAGGCCGGCTGAAGTGCTCTAAGGGAATCTGCTGGCATTGCCTCTAGGGTAGCTGGAGATGTTTTACAGGGACAGCCACAAAACTCTGATCCTGCTGTTCAGACACCACGTTTTAGTCCAGTCTGGGCTGCAGAGATGGCCTGGAAAAGCCACCCAGGCAAATGAAGGGCCATTAGAGGCAGAGCAGTGGTCCCCACACTGTCCAGAACCCAACAGGACAAGTCCCTTCCCTGCCTGCAGACCCTCCGCACCCCTGACCTGTGAGGTTAAGAGAGGATAGTGCTGCATGCCCTGTAACCGGCTCCCCCTTGGAAGCACATGTTGGAATGGACAAAGCTGTTTGGTTCAAACCAAGAATCAGGCCAAAGAGCAACTGCCCCTTCTAGTCGGTGTACTGTCATTGGTGTTGGGGTTCAAGCCATCCCATTCATACGTGTGGTCTCTTCTTCCCCCTCCCCAGTGTCTCGCAGTGGAGGGGTCCCCCTCGCCTAGGCTGTCTCTTTCACCACGGGGATCACATAGTGGCTGTGAATGACCTGCGCATACATAGCATTGAGGAGCTTTCCTTGTTCATCAGCAAGTCTGTGAAAAAGGAGGTAAGCCCAAATGGTATTGGCCTGACACATAGTGGAGGGGATCAGACAGGTGAGCCGACAGCCTCGCCAGGCCCCGGGCTAGGTGGTGGGGAGGCCCAGCTCTGCGTTCCCAGAAGGAGTGGGGGCTTGAGTGGAAAGGGTGTGGCCAAGGCAGCCAGCCCTCAACAGTGCCCAGGCTGCACCCTCAATGCCATCCAGTGCACGCCACCCAGGGCGGTGCAGTGTAGCTGTGGGGTGCTACCCCCAGTGGCAATTTAAAGGGCCCAGGCTCCAGGAGTTGTTGTTGCCATAGTAGCGACGGTGGCAGCCAGAGCCCTGGGCCCCTTGGAATTGCTGGGCCCTAGGGCAGCAGCACCATTCTCTTCTATCCCGCACCACCCCCGGTCAACAGGCCTGCGTTCAGGTTACGATTTCACAAGGGCTTCTGCCAAGCCAAGTCTCAGGCGCTCACTCCTGTCAGGCACTACCGAGTGTCACTGCGGTGAGCCAGGTTGCCTCACATCTCCTGGGCCCTGGCAAACTCTCAACAGATATTGATCACCATCATGTGACTGGGGTATTAGCCTGGGAGAGGGGGCCAAAGGTTGTGACTACAGCCAGGAAGAAGATAGTCAAATGACAGCAATCCTGGCAAGTCATTACACCTCTCAAAGACAGACACGGACAGAGTTAACCCTTTCTTGACAGTCTATTTGTGGCACCCGCCCCATCATATACATTTTACATATCTGTGTAGTTCACTGTACAGAACAGTTTAACTTACAACCTTGTGTTTTCACGCACTGATAACTCCCCAAAGGTCACTGATTTTTTCCATGCATTCTGTGTCCCAAACAGGGAATTTCTTTAGGTGCAGTGGGGAGGGGGAACTCCTTTTTGCCATTTTTAAGCTCTGCAAGGCTTTGTACCCACCCTTTACGCTTGTGTCTGCCAAGCAAATAGCTCAAAACCCACTCAACTTTGGAACTTGTGCAGCAAGGGCTATTTACAGGCCAAAAGGCCACTGAATGTTTTCTCTAATTGATTGTGTGCTAATGAAGTTATAAGCAATAGATAACTCATTTCTGATCAGGGACAGAGGCTGCTGCTGAGATAGTTTGCCCGGAAGGGGATTGTTCACACAGCAAAACCCACCACTGCTGACTTTGCTGATGATTTCCATTTATGCCTGGAGCTGTCTCCACCCCAAAATCCCCCTCTGTACGATTTGCAACGACACTCCCATGGAGTGGAAGGGACAGGGCCACACTGTGATTCCTAAGCAGCTAGAACTCTCCTACAGCCAGTCAATGGATGTTACAGTCCCTCAGCATCCTTTGGTATGAGGCGTTTAGGCTGTTTGCTTCTCAGGGTAGGAAAGTATCTGTTGATTGTTGCTTGAAGTGTTTAGTCCCTCGGCAGTTTTACTCATAGTGTTGGGAACAGCCCAAGGTCCTGGCTCCCCTTCTCTAACCACTTGGGGTAACTCTCTCTGTTCAGTACTCATCACCATGGGTAGTGGGTGAAGGCCCAGCTGTGGAAGGCAAGCCCCTCCCCTTCTGCTGGAGGCCTGCCTCTGAAGCCAAGCCCCGCCCACCCCCATCCTGATCCTTCCTGGCCCCCTGCAGGGCCACGGCTGCTGTCCTGTGGTCCCAGACCCAGCCCTTCCCAGTAGCTAGGGAGCAAGACTGCTGCACCACTGCCCCAGGTGGTGGGGGAGCCGGGCTGCCACACCACAGCCCCAGTCTTCCCCTGAGACCAGGGAACAGGGCTGCTGCACCGTAGTCCCAGCCTTCCCGGCAGCTGGGGCATGTAGGCAGTTCTGGGAAGGCAGTACCTTCCCTTGCCTACATCACCGGCCACCCGTGCTCATCACCTTCCATTAGAGGGCTGGAAAGCTCTGCTGTGCGTTTGGTCCCAGGTGGAGAACGACATTTCTCTCAGCTGGGCTGCAATCTTGATACTTGGGATCTCTGCCCCTCCCCCCGGAAGGTCTCTTTGGCAAGGTCTACACTCACGGCTTCTTGCGCAAGTAATATGCAAATGAGCTAAACGTGGAATATCGTCGAGCCTCATTTGCATACCTAATGAGCCACCATTTTTTTCTGAAGAGGCTCTTGCACAAGAAGGAGCGTCTACACTGCCCCTTCTTGCACAAGAAAAACCCTCTTGCGCAAAGCCGTTCTTCCTGAAAAGTAATAAGTGTAACGGCATTGCGCAAGAGGGGTTTTCTTGCGCAAGAAGGGGCAGCGTAGACTCTCCTTCTTGCGCAAGAGCCTCTTCTGAAAAAAATGGTGGCTCATTAGGTATGCAAATGAGGCTCGGCGATATTCCACGTTTAGCCTCATTTGCATATTACTCGCGCAAGAAGACGCGAGTGTAGACATAGCCTTTATGTTTGGATCTGCTGAGGTCACCCAATGCCAGTGTCGGCTGAGCAGTAGAAAGCCTGTCGCCAATACCAAGAGAAAATACAAATACCACTGTTCATAGAGGAGGGAATTTAGACAGGGAGGTAGGGAGAGATCAGTGGGGACAGTGTTATTGTGTCAAGTGTGGGTTTACTGAGTTATAAAAAGGTGACCCTTGTGTGTGTGTTTTGGTTTGTTTGAAGGTGAAACTCACCATTTGTCGGATCCCAGATTCAGCCATTTTCCATATTAAAGGTTGCTCATGTTCCTAGGTAAGTACCACCAGTGCTTTTTTGTGTGTGTGTGTGTGTGTGTGTGTGATGGTACTGCCCGGTGCTCAGTACAGGCACCTCCAGACGCAGTACCAGCACCTCTTCCCTTGGAGTACCGGCATTTTTTTTTTAAACAAAAAAAACACCAAGTGCCGTCATTAATGCAAAAGGGGTTGTGTCTTCTCAGGATGTTACACCGCGGCTACCTAGCTAAACGGATAGTCGATACAATTTGTATCTACTATGCAGAGCAGTCCTATGGACTAATCATAGACCAGTAGCGGGGGTCACTTCAGGAGCTGGCTTGAGCCAGAACTGAGCAGTCCCGACTCATGCCAGCTCCAGGAGCCATCTGCGCTACAGCTCTGCATTTTAAATGCAGTAAGAGCTCAACAGCTTTTACTACATATAAAATGAAGAGGAGCAGCATCCCGGACCAGTGTGAGTTCAGCAGCCCCAGTTTGTGGCAAACATCCCTGGCTGCTGCAAAGGGGGGCTGTTTGGGGCAGCAGCCTTTCCTATCCTCACATGCTGCCTGTGATAGAGGCAGGGGGCGGGGGGTGTCGCTTGCCTCCCAGAGTTGGTGCTGGGGAGGAAACCAGCTTTTAAGCCGGATCCCCTCGCCCAGAGGAGAGGCATCGCAGGGAAACAGCAGTGTTTCAGCCCACAGGGTTCTTGCTACATTTCAAAGGCTGAAGCGCCGCAGTGGGAGCAAGGGGCAAGAGAGGACTGCTTCACTCCCTGCTCACGCTGTTTCCCCGCTGTGTTTCTGCCTCCCCTCGGAGATGGTGCTGGAGGTGAACCAGCTTTTAAGCCAGCTCCACTCAGCACCAGCTCCTGCTCCCCACTTTTGGAAGCAACTAGCCACTTCCATCCCTAGTGTATTCCTACCCTAATAGTAATGTAACCCCCTAGGCTGAAAGCCATGCACATTTATTCTACAGCAGGTGAGATTTGTGTTTATGTAGGGAGGAAAAAAAAGTTGTGTTTTAATTAATCATGTTTAATGCCATGTGCATAGGGACGTCATTGTGCTAGGGGTTGCACAAACTTTTGTATCGCTCTAAATAGACATGCAGACAAAGCAAACAGGAAAGGGATAGCATGTGACAAGAGAGAGAGCTCTCTTCATACTCAGTTCTACGCGATCTTCCCAAATAGCCTTCACCAGGCCAGTTGCTGTTAGATGTGTCTGTACAAAGAGTAGGAACTGACTGGATTTGATTTGCCATTTGAAGTCCCGGGCATATATTTTGGGCACGTGACAGTTAATCAGTTAAGTCAAATCAAACAGAAAGGTTGCAGCAAACTTGAAAGTCAAACTGTTGTCTCTAGGCCTGTATACTGCATGGTCTGGACTCACCTTTGTTTGCCCATTAATATCAATAATCAGTTATGAGCCTGGGAAGGAAGAGGGGAAAAACATTCTTTGGGAACACAGCCACATTTTTCCTGTGGGTTCTGCTCTGGGGAGGCAGGATGCCAGCTTTGTGGAGCACAGATGTGGCCCTGGAAAAGTGCCCTGGCAATAAAATGCTCCGCAGCTACGGTGTCTTGATTAGGGCCCCTCCTGTTACAGCCACAGAGAGACTTCAAGAGGTCCCAGCCAGGAGACATGGTTGGGAGATGGGAGCCTGATCCAACCATATTGGGATTCAGTAAGATCTGCACCAGGCTTCAGGTGAATGGGGAGACTGGGGACAGATATTTGGTCTACACTGGATTAGTCATTGCTCAGGGCAGAACATACACGGATTAGGAAAGCAATAGCAGGAAGGGTGTGCATGATAGACATGCAACATAGAATAAGAGGATGTGAACAACTGGCTGTTTGAAAAAGCCAATCTTTTCATTGCTTGACAACTGAGTTAGTGAGTGCAAGAGTGCGATCGATGAAGGGCAGCCGAGTATGAACTAAATCAGATCTGGAGCCAGTCTGGCAAAATTAGAGCGGCTGCCAATTCTATAGTGGCAATCTGTTGCTTTCACAAAGTTTTAAGTTCACTGCAGAAGAAACGAAAAGAGGTCACACCAGTGCTATCACGAGGTTCTCCCCCTCCCCGCCCGCCCGCAACAAAGATGTCTCACATCAATATTCCTGGCTACATACAGCTGCAGTAAAAGCAGGAGCTTGTGTCATGTCAGCCTGATTTGCAACACCCATATATCTATCTCTTCTTCTTGATATGGGAAACCTCTGTAGCGGCACCCACTAATGCAGGTGAAAAGCTGACCTTGAGCTATGCTGTAGGGACTTCTGCCTAAACAAGGGCCACCATGTTCTGCTATCATGCATACCACTTCAAAACAGCATTATAACAAAACAGGGGAACACCTAGCTTGCCACAGCCTACTTGAGAGCAGGGCAGATTTATTTATGCCAGCTAAATCCTCATGTGGCCAAGTCACCATTGGAATTAGCAGAGGTAAACTGCATCAGTAGATTTATCTAAGCTTCAGCTAGCATGCTGCTGGTATCCAGCAGAACAGGATGGACCAAAACTTATCATGGGTGTAAAAAACAGCTACACCTCATATTACACTTTGTCGGGTTGCTCCCTGCTCATTCCAAAACGGCAAGTTTACCCACTGGTGCATCATGTACACTTTGAAATGTCATATGCACTTCTTCCCCCCTCCCCCGCCCCCACTTAGGATTGCAAGTAGGAATAAGAGATCCTCCGGAATAGGGCTTTATTCCAGAGGATCGCGCCAGTCTGGACGCTCTTTTCCAGCTTTCCCCCAAGCCGGAAAAAAGCGGCGGCCATGTTTATTTAAATCCCGTGGGGGATATTTAAATCCCCCGCGCATTTCCCTATTCTGACTTCTCTCATTTCCATAGCTATTATGGGTTATGTGGCCAGTGTAGACACAGCCTTAAAGATTTTACTCGGCTCAAAAAGGCAACAGTATCAATAAAGCAAATCATAATTAATGAATAGTGTTTATACAATGAATTCACTTGATTTCTACTCAGGTCAGTTTCTGAAGGTTCTCTCTTCTGTTTTGTAGATAAGTGGTAGCCATGAGCGTATTCCTGAAGATGGAAGGATCAGTATTTAATATTTCTATTGCACTTGCACTCAGGCCTCATTGGGTTATGCCCTGTATAAACACATAGAGGGACATGGGTCCTATTTAGAAGGCATCAGCACTGAAGATAGAAGGAAAAAGGACATCGGCTTGAAGACTATCCAGAGTGGTTGTGGGACTGCTTCCCTTTAAATTGTCTTTTTTTGAGCAACATCCCTGGTGTTGCCACAACTCAGTTACTTGACACTGTTCTTCTAATGGCTGGAATGGCTTCAGATGTGATCACTTCTGACCAGGTTGGGATTGCAGTCTTTCCTGGCTGTGCAGACAAATCAGCTTGCCTTCAGGACAATCCTCCAGCCTTGAAAATGGCCGCTGGCCATAGAATTGCAATCGAAAAGAGCTCACTTTTTTTTTTCCTAAGTAGGGAGAAGCAAAGGAGGTACAAACGGTGTGGGAAGTTATTTCCTGCCGCTTCCCAGAGCAAATGTTTGTGAACAGAGGTGCTTACAGGTATATGATCCATCAGCAGTTATCACTGGGGAAAACCCCACTGCAGCCAGGTCTGCACAAGTCAGTTGAAGCAGAAAATGAACCATGCATTCTGCAGCTGCTTGTTATGGCTCCGCTCACTGTTATGGCAAGCGTGTTGGTCCTAGAGCAAAATGACGTTTTGGTGGATTTGGCTAACATTGATGGTTCCTTTGTATTTCAGACATCTGGGATTTATTTCCCTACTTTTGCAAGTCAGAACCACAGTGCTAGCAAGTGATTTTCAGCGGCGGCTTGTTTTCATGTCAGACTGTGCACAGTAGTGATGGGCTCAGTGAACATTACACATGGTGTGCTTTTATTTTTGCTGCAGATTGTACGCTAGTTATAAAATACAGAGGTGAGAGCCACATGGTGAATTAGAGGATGTGATGCAATGTAACATGTTCCTGTGACCTGCCCAGAATTATCCCAGCAGGACTCGCTCTCGGGGTGTGTCTACACAGCACCCTTATCTCAAAATAAGCTACACAATTTGCGCTATGCAAATTGCATAGCTTATTTCGAGGTATTTTCGAAATAGCTTATTTTGAAATTTGGTGCGGTCTACACAAATCCCTTAACTGGGCAAGTCTATGAGTATAAAACACAAGATGTATCGTTTGATGTACGTGCCCTTGTAGTCGTCATGCTCTGTCGTGTAATTGTCTGTGCCCTTTGCCTCACCAACCTGGTATAAGTTGAGCAACCATGCTTTTTATTTTTTAAAAAGCAGAGAACTTCTGACGTGCTGAAGACCAGAAACTGAGGGGAGGGAGCAGCAGATCCTTTGTGGACAGGTTAAACGCAGCCGTGAGAAGGCTGCCTGCCTGCCTCCAGCCCTGGCAATCCTGCAAGAATGCCAAACCTGCTCACGTTGCTGATGCCTTTACGAGAAGCTGGTGGGTGCCTGGGGCCAGTGCCGGCAAGATTCTAGGTGTGGCAGCATCTGCCAAACCGGGCACACCAGCTAGGGCAGCAAGGAGGCGGGGAGGTTGGAGCATTTGTTGACAAAACATTAACAGGCACCACATATATTGTACTGTGATTTCCCGTCATCTAGATGCCTGCAAGAGAGTGAGTAACTTAAAAGTTAATTTCCACGTTCCCATGACGCACACTTTCACTCCTAGTTTCTTCTGTCCCTTCTGAAGGGGCAAGAGAGATGCCACAATTCTTCAGAGAGAAGAGGCGCTCCGAGGACACAGAGGCTGCGTCTAGACTGGCAAGTTTTTCCGCAAAAGCACATGCTTTTGCGGAAAAACTTGCCAGCTGGCTACACTGGCTGCTTTGAATTTGCGCAAGAACACTGACGACCTAATGTAAGATTGTCAGTGTTCTTCCGCAAATACAATGACTCTCCCATTCGGGAAAAAGCCCTCTTGCGCAAATGCTTTTGTGCAAGAGGGCCAGTGTAGACAATTGAGAACTGTTTTGCGCAAAAAAAACCCAATGGCAAAAATGGCGATCGGGGCTTTCTTGCGCAAAACTGCGTCTAGATTGGCACAGACGCTTTTCCGCAAAAAGTGCTTTTGCACAAAAGCATCCTTGCCGATCTAGATGCTCTTTTCCACACATGCTTTTAACGGAAAAACTTTTCCGTTAAAAGCATTTGCGGAAAATCATGCCAGTCTAGACGTAGCCAGGATGTTTAAGGGACTTCTCCAAACTCACAGGCTTGTATTGTGACGAAGACGGTGGGGAAGGCACAAAGTCTAACACACATAATTGTCCTTGGCACTTCCCCTGTGGCCAGACACCCCCGCTGGGAACATCTCCTCATGGCTCGTCCCACAGCACTGCTCTGGATTAGTTGGCCAGATGTAGGCCTCTGCACCAGACACAGCAGCACGACAGACCAGCCCTTGGCCAGGATCTCTACTTAACTGGCTAATCCCACTCCCCTATCTGCTTATTAATTAGCAGCTACAAGGGCACAGCACAGAACCAAGCTATCGCAAAGTGAGGAGTGATTGTTAGTGTCCAACTTGACACTGGAAGGGGCCTGACGTTTACAGGGCACATGCTGGACACTCCCACCCCGCAAAAAAAGTCAAGCCTCTGAAGGGCTTTCAAGCTGGGCACACAAAATCCACTCATCATACCCTGTGTAACTATTCCATGTATTGAGTGGCCTGTTCAGCCTACTGTGCTCTTTCTGTACTGTTCAACACCCCTAAGGCAATAATTTTTGCTGGGGATCGCACTCCAAGATTTTCATAAGTGGTCAAAAGCTGCACTTTTCTATGGAGGGGACATCGGTCTGAGAGGGTGCAGAAGGGAGCTCAGGATAGAGGTCTGGGGTGCAAGAGGAGATGTGGGGTCTGAGAGGGTATGTCTACACTACAAAGTTAGTTCGAACTAACAGAGGTTAGTTTGAACTAACTTTCATAGGCGCTACACTAGCGCTCCGTTAGTTCGAATTTAATTTGAACTAACGGAGCGTTTAGTTCGAACTAGGTAATCCTCATTCCACAAGGATTAAGCCTAGTTCGAACTTACTAGTTCAAATTAAGGGCTGCGTAGACCCTTAATTCGAACTAGTGGGAGACTAGCCCTCCCCAGCTTGCCCTGGTGGCCACTCTGGCCAACACCAGGGAAACTCGTCTGCCCCCCTCCCGGCCCCGGACCCCTTAAAGGAGCACAGGCTGGCTACGGTGCCCGTGCCAGGTGCAAGCCTGCCAGCACCCAGCCAGCAGACCCTGCACCTGGCACGGATCGAGCCACCCACCCGATGCCCCCCAGCCCTCCCCCTCTTCCTGGGACCAGGCTGGCGGCTCCCAGGAGCTTGCCCGGGACCGCAAGAGGCGGGCACCCGCCTGGGCTAGTGCGGACATCGTGGACCTTGTCCACAATCTCCACACTAGGCACAGGAAAGTGGCCGGCTTGGGCAGGAGAGCTGCCAGCCTGGCCACCCAGGAGCAGGTGTGCATGAAAATCAAGGGGGTCCACTGAGACTCCCGACCCTGAGCCCTGAGCTTACAATGGCCGTCCTGGGTCAGACCAAAGGTCCATCTAGCCCAGTAGCCTGTCTGCCAACAGCGGCCAACCCTAGCGACCCTGGAGGGGCTGGACCGAAGACAGTGACCAAGCCATTTGTCTCGTACCATCCCTCTCCAGCCTTCCACAAACCTTGGGCAGGGACACCACTCCTACCCCCTGGCTAATACCACTCCATGGACCCAACCTCCATGACTTGATCTCACTTCCCTTTAAACTCTGTTCTAGTTCTAGCCTTCACAGCCTCCTGCAGCAAGGAGTTCCACAGGTTGACTCTTTGCTTTGTGAAGAACAACTTTCTGTTACTAGTTTGAAGCCTGCTACCCATTCCTTTCCTTTGGTGTCCTCTAGTCCTTCTTTATGGGAACTAATGAAGAACTTTTCTGTATGCACCCTCTCCACCCAACTCTTGCTTTGTGAGACCTCTATCCTGTCCCCACTCCATCTCCTCTTTTCTAAGCTGAGAAGTCCCAGTCTCTTTAGCCTCTCTTCATATGGGACCTGTTCCCAACCCCTGATCATTTTAGTTGCCTTCCCCTCTCCCACCTCCTTTTCCCAGTCTCCCCCAGTTTTGTTCAATAAAGACAGATTCCATTTTTGAACACAATTGTCCTTTATTTTGTACATCAAGAAAAGGGGCTAGGGAAGGGTAAGTGGAAGGAGGTGAGGGAGGAATGGGGCACGAGCCCCCGATGGGGAGGACTGGGCTGGCTCTGTGGGCTTTTGGGGTGGACCCTCTCCTGCAGCCCCCCGATTGCCTCCTCTCCCCAGATGGCAGCCTGCGGCAAGTGCAGCTGGGCTGATGGCTGAGTGTTGTGATGTGCCCAGTGTGGGTACTCTGGGCACTCCAAGCCAGGATTGCTTTGCAAGCGGGGCACCCCTGAGAACTGTCTGTCCGGGGTGGGGGGCGGGACCCTTTAAGCGCAGCCATCGGCTAGCCTGAGACAGCATCTCCACGCTCTAAGTTCTCCTCTGATGCCCTCCTGGCACTGCTTCCAGCCAGCCTTAAGCCTGGTTCAGGGTCCACTTAATGTGGACATGCTAGTTCGAATTAGCAAAACGCTAATTCGAACTAGTTTTTTAGTCTAGATCCGTTAGTTCCAATTAGCTTAGTTCGAATTAACTAATTTGAACTAAGTTAGTTCGAATTAACGTTGTAGTGTAGACGTACCCAAAGGGAGTTTGGCTAAAAGAGGGGGTTGTGACCCGGGGCAGAAGATTGGGGTGCAGGATCTGGGAGGGAATTGTAACCTTGGGGAGGGTGTGCAGAGGATTTGAGTGGTGAGTTGGGGCAGGAGTTTGGGGGGGGCAGGAGTGGAGAGCAGGGCTGGGGAGGTGGTATGGGTGCAGGAGAAGATTCTGGCATGGGGAAGAGCATAGAAGGGGGTGCAGAGGGTTTGGGTGGTGACCTGGGGCAGGGAGTTGGGGTGAGGTGCCTGATGCAGGGTCTAGACAGGAGGCGCTTACCTAGGTAGCTCCCAGCCAGCAGCCCAGCAAGACCCTCAGGCAGGCTGCCTGCTTGCCCCAGTCCCAGGCTGCTCAAAGCGGCTAGCTGCTGGGGCTCATGTGTCTCTCGGAAAAGGAGGATTTCCAGCCAATGGGAGATGCCATGATTGAGCTGGGGGTGGGGACAGCACACAAAATCTCCCCTTCCCCCGCCTGGCACATGCTGCAGAGAGGCACATGGAGCAGGCAGACTGTGGTGGCAGGGACCCTGCCTGGGGCTGTGGGTTGGATCCAAAGGTTTGGCAGGACCGATCCAGCCTGCAGGACACACCTTGCTCACCTCTGTCCTAGGGGCTGGCTCCACAGTTTCCCTCCTCATAGCACAGGAGGTAGGGAGAAGAGGTTTGTCAGGACAGGGACACGGGATGCAGCAGAGAATCTGTCCGGTGCATACAAAATGTCTATGGGCTAAATTCTGCTTTGTCCTGTGCTGACGGCTTGGGAATGGGACGACGACAAAGGGTTCTTGTGCCCTGGAGCCCAGCTGCAAAGGAGCCAGCCACAATGCAGGGAGGGCATAGCTAGTCGGAGTGAGGGCATGGTATCTGAAAGGTGCACTGTCCTGTCCATTGAACAGTTAAGTGTGGTTGCCCATGGCTGTATGCTTTGGGCAGCCCCATGCATCGGAAGGATGTGAGAGTTGGGTGGCACAGGTGTTACCTACCAGCCCTGTGCTCTTGAGGAGCCAGGGAGTGACATTCATGGAAAACCATCCTCCCCCCCCTCTCCTAGGCCTCTGCTAGAATCAGACAAAGCAATGAAAAGGCCAGGGAAGACACGCCTAAACTAATTAAGGAAACACCCCAGCCTCATCTGCATTGAAGATAGAACAGAGGGACATCTCATTAGCATACAGAACGGAGACCAGCTCTTCCCAGGCAGGAACCGCAGTGAACTATGGGATACCGAAAGCAGAGAAGCACTGCCTGATGGGAAATCTCTGCTCCAGATGCTAATGAACCCAGACTTGCTCACACCCAAATTAGTCATTGTCAGACCAATTCTAGTAACGATCCTATTGACATCCAAAAATACTGAAACTGTCCCGTTGCATTGAGAGCTGGTTCAAGGATCACCCATAACCAGGTGTGATCAGTCTCTAATGTCTCCCCTCTGTTTCTCTTTGAACTATTGTCCTAGCCCTATAAAAACTCCCACCCTTGCCCAAGAAAAACTGTTCTGATACCTGGATTTAAACTGCATCAGGTCCATTGAGACGTCATCATCTCCTGTCTGATCATGCTGGGGGCTCTACTCTGCTCGTCTCCTGCCCTCTGGACCCCCAGTTCCCATCACCATCTGGTAATCCCGATCAGTGCAAGCGCTACAGAGTGAGATTTTCCTCACTCTTTCTCTCTTCCCGCCCCCCACACTACCTCTCAAAGCATAGCCTCCTGACCCTGCCCAATGTAAATTGTTACAACATTTGTAATGTTTCAATTTAGATTTAATATTAAACTTTTCACTACTCAGAAATAAATAACGTTCATTGTTAAGCCGGTTGTTTTTCTCTCTCTTTCGCCCACTCTTCCTCAAGGGGTGTTGTTTTGACTTCCCCTTTTGCTCTGTAACAACGCTTCTTGTACCCAAGCTCAAGATCCCTGTAGTGCCCAAACTCCTGTGGAGTTTGCTCATCGTATGGTTTACCAGTGAATGATTGTGGGGTGAAAGTGGGGATAGGGGGTGCTGAACCTGGGGGCTTATGAGGAGGGCACCTTAAAGTGCTGTTTAATCCAGCCCACTGAGTCTAAAGGCTTATGAGGGTGCAGTGTG